TGACCATCTTAGGTATTTCTCAGGCCCTGCTCTGTTACCTCGAGGGCTGAAGGCCTCAATGTCTTGGAATACGGGTTATATTTTTGTAACATTTTTGGATCATTTGTCTCTAAATACTTCTTAAAAATGCTCAGTAGTGGAAGGAGATCTATAGTTTCGGCCAAAAAGCATCCACTTTCTTATTTCTAAAAAAAAAATACCTGCAATTTGTCTTGGAGAACCATCCCACCTTCATGTCCAACCCGCATGGTTTGGGTAGTGTGACTGTACTCCCAAATCCAAGGTGGGCATTTGACCCAAGGCTGCTGAAGAATGAATCACAGGTGCTGACCATGGTGATGAGTGCAGATATGGGTACCGGATATAATCTAATGCAGTCAAGTTGGATACAGTTCTTTAGCTGGAAAATTTGAGAAAGAGGGATACCCTTTGTGCTGGGGTTTCTATGTCAAAAGAATGTAAGCTAGGAGAAAAGCCAGATTAATAATGAAGTTCTTAAAAATGAACTCCTTAAAGCAAAACCCAGACTAAGAATAAAGTTAAAAGAGAAGAAAACATAACCGAAAGATGGTTGGTGACATTATTTGAACATCTATATTTAATTATGTCTTAAGCAGTTCTTAAATTGTATTTTCCAATTTATGTAGTGGGGAGGGGAAGAGGAGGGACAAAAAATGAAGCAAAATAAAAAATAAAAACTTCCTTTTTGAGTTGGATTTTTGCTCCTTACAACCCAAGCCCCAAATCCATGTGGATTGCTGAATGCCATCTGGTTCTACCAAATCTGAATTTCTGAGCATGAACTCAAACAACCTGCATTTTAAACAAACACTCCATTTAATTCCTATACACACTAAAGTTTAAGATCAACTAATCCAAACTCTTTGTTTTGTGGCTGAGAAAACTGAGACTTTAACAAATTGTCTTTCCCAAGATCATTCAACATTATCTACTTATTCAAGGTGTGGAGGAACTATCAATGAAAAGGACAAAAATCTCTCCCTTTATGGACATTAATAAGCCAGATGCTTAGTAGCAGAATGGGAAGTGAATTCAGTTCAACTATTTTCTTTTTTGTGACTTGATTTCCCTAAGGTCATGCTCTAATAATTTTCTTCTTTACCCCAACAGATTTCTGGTTTAAAATCGGAACATTTAAATGGCAAAGATTCTACACTTGGGCAGCATTCATAGCACATAAAAATAGGAAGTACTTTCACAGTTTTGAGGTAAATGTAACTAGTGTATATGGTCTGGTAATTGTAAGCGTTTCCACCAACGTGATAAAGGACAGAATGCAGCAGAAGGAAGAAAATGCAGTACCCACTCTTGTCTCTAAAGTCCCAAGCAGCTCAAAAGTCTTTAAAGATTCTTGTCTTAAAAATTTATGCAAAATGCTACAGTTAATTCCATTATATGTGTGGCTGTTTCAATAAGAAAATAATTTTTTAAATCCTCAATTAAAAAATAAATATTCCAGAAGTATAAGCCATAATTCTTATTTGGCTGATGTGCCCCAAGCACAATATCATGTCATCTAGGAGTAGATACTTATATCCCACGTACATCCTAGTAATTCATTTTTCTATTCTGAGGCACTGTGCATCTATTAGCCCCATCTACTAACTATTAGCATTCTTGTGACATGGATGAGAAAATTGAGGCAGAAAGAAATCAGGATACTTGCTCTAGGTCACATAGGTAGCAACGAATTGAACCAGGATTAGAATTCAGACAGTTGGACACTTAAAGGGGCTTGGCCTACATGTGTTTTTTACTCTAAAGTTCACATAAAATAATAATTTGCTCATGCTGCCCCTTCATTGTCAAAACTCACAGAACACGCAAAATTGATGATTTTTTAAGTTAGACAATAAAAGTCAAGAACGTTGACTTCTTTTTAGTCAAGAAGGTTATCATCTGTAGAGCCAAGCTGTCAAAAACTTAAAGACTTGATGGTCCAGTGAATTGAATGACTTTAAGAATATGAATGTACCTATGGGACCAAATCTACAAGAAAATGGTCAGCATGCCTTATGAAAGGACACCTAGTATTTCTACTATTTTGTGGGGTGTTGCTGCATATTTCTGACTATTGAGTGGCAGGCAAGTCTGTCATCAAAGCAAGAGAGCAGCTAGGAAGAGTAAGCAATTAGTGGACCCAATTAAAAAATAACAAAAATTAAATATCTTCAAGACAGTCTTAGGCACATGGCTCTGGGATAGGTTGAGATAAAATAGACAATAGTCTCCCTTTATTTGAGGTTTCTCTTCTGGAGTTTCAGTTACCTGAAGTCAATTGCCATCTGAAAATAGGTGAGTATAGCACAATAAGATACTTTGAAAGAAGGACAATCGTCTCTTTAATTATAGTGTATCATAATTATTCAATTTCATTAACAGCTATTGTTAGTAATATCTTACTGTGCCTAATTTATAAATTAAACTTCATCACAGATATGTATGTATAGGACAAAACAATATATATATAGGTTTCAGTACTACCCAGTTTCAGGTATCCACTGGGGGTCTTGGAACATATGCCTTGCAGATAAAGAGCAACTACTGTACTTTGATGGGTATTAACAAACACTTTGACCTTCATTAGAAATATACAGGCAAAAGCTATATAAAATTTGTCTGCAGGTCAAAATTAGCTAAATGACTAACAGTGTACTTTAAAATATGGATAAGTTGACAACATTTAATATTCAATTTTTCATATAAATCTACATTTCCTGCTTTTCTTTGGAGAATGGAAGATCTTGCATTTGGCATCAGTGGCATTTACTATCCCACTTGGATGGAGAATATATTCTTCACATTGCCATAGTCCCACCACTGCTTATGGTCTTAACCTGGTCTGCTTTAGTCATGTACATCCATGCATGGCCCAAAGTAGACGTAAGAGTTTGCAATCCCGGATGTATGGGATAATGTCCAAACGCCAGAGAATGTCTGCAAGGCTCTTCAGAATTTTCAGCCTTTACAAAGACCCCATGTGCCAGTCTCAGTAAATTCCTTATAGTTCCATAAACAATAAGTTTTGTCATGTTCAGTGTCTTTGTCCATGCTGGGCTCCCTGCTTGAAATATCCTCTCTCTACCTCTTCTTTCTGCCTAGAGAAGTCTCACTTATCCTCAAGACTTAGTTCAAGTTTCAATTCCGCTATGGAACTTTTCTAAATCCTGCCAGCTAGCTATTTGCTTCTTTCTAAGAATTCACATAACACTTTGTGCTTCTATTATCATTATAATGACTTTTTATTCTGTCTGCCCAATCGGAAAATGTGTTTCTTGAAGAGGAGAACTCTTAATCATCTCCATATCCCCAGTCCTTAATAGAGTGCCTGGCTTCTACTAGGTAGAAAATGAATATTTATTGAATGAACAAAAGTAGGATAAATAAATGAATGATTCTGAAAACTTGTATTACAAGATCATATAACAAATTTGATGTTTACAACAAGGGGAGTAACTGCTCAAGACCAAATTTCAAATTTTGATAATGATTATGACATTTCCAGATAACAGTTATTAAAAGTGCCTGTTTATCATACCCTTGCCAGGAAAATAAATCCTGAGAAAACAGAATGTATACAATATTAGTAAATATAAAAGTGACATAAAATTATAGGAGGCCATACTTTGTTAGGGGCTCTAAGGGTACAGGAGGTTGTAGTATTGCATTCAAGGAGACAACAGAGAGTAAAAGGAGTCTCTTAAAGCTGGTAGCTACTCTGGCAGGGTTTTCCCTAAAAAGCGGAGGACTTGGGCCCATAAAGTGGCAGGAAGAGCTGGTTTAGCTGGCAGGGTATCACATGGACAAGGATTACTACCAGAATAGGAGTCTGTAGAGTTGTACCCAAGCGTAGAGAGTCCAACAGCTCTCTACTCTTGGGTACAAGATAGGCTGTACTATCTGACCTCCTTGCAATGATTCCTTGGAGCCACACAACTAATCCTGGTTAATTCTTTGTGAGCCCATATGATGTGTGTCATTTCTGGGCCATAACATTTCAATGTTAGCATGAAACCCTCCAGAGTGATCTTTATTTTTGCCATAACAACATGAAACATTCAAGATGGTGATTGTTCCATTAGCCAGAGACCTGGAGTGACAGACATGGAACAGACCAGCTGAACTGCAATGGATTCAAGGCACAACCAAGAAAACAATGTTTGCTGTTACAGGCCACTAAAAAATTGGAATCGTTACTCCAGCACAACATCGCCTATCTTGACTGATACAACAGATTTGTTCTGTTTGGCTGCAACTGGCAGAATGAAGACCAATGTTTGGAAGTTTCAGGAAGACTAATTCTGTGCAATATAAGATAAAAACATAATAAAGTATACAAAGATGGAATGAAATACTTTTGAAATTATCCATTCACTTGCACAATATACAGTGAACTCTACTCTCTAGTAAGTATTACATAGGTAAAAATCCTTGCCTTAATGGAGGTAAGTAGTAAGTTCCCCTTCACACCCAAGATGTCTGCATTGAATGGCCTCTAAAGATTTGATGGAACAAATTAATTTTAAAAATACCTTCCAACCCACAGCTTTAGGATCTCTACTTCCTCTGTTCTTAACAGCAAAATACACATATATATTTTTTCCTCAAGTATTTCTTTGATTCAAATGACTAACTGACCCATTGTGTTGTCTTTTCACATTTTAATGTCATTTTTCCTGAAAAAAAACGTTTCTTCAAGGCCAATGCTATTTTCTCCTTTCCCTTGATCTCTCTTCTAATAGTTAGCAGGCAATATCTTATTGTCTATTCTTTTAAGGAAATAACCAGTGTAGCTTTTGATACCAGCTACTGCTATAGGCCATTTGCTATGTTTCAGATTTGTATTTCATTTAAGTTAGATTTGGACTTGTTAAAAAAAAATAGTAGCACAAATGTATTATTGTGTTAGTTCATTTGAGGTGCCATAACAAAGTATTTTGGACTGGGTAATTTATAAGCAACAGCAATTTATTGCTCACCATTCTGGAAGCTGGGAAGTTCAAGATTACAGCACCAGTAGATTCAGCGTCTGGTGAAGGCTCACTCCTTGCTTCACAGATGGCACTTTTGTTGCTGTGTCCTCACACAGTGGAAGGCGCAAGGTAGCTAGACTCAGCCTGTCTTATGAAGGCACTCATCCCACTCATGAGGGTGGAGACCTCATGACTTAATCCCTTCCCAAAGGCCCTACTTCTTAATACTATCACTTTTGATATTAGTTTCTAATATATGAGCCCTAATATTGGGGAACGCTAACATTCAGACCGTAACAACCAAGTAACTTTTGGATTAAATGCCCCTTTCTTCTGAAAAAATGATCTTAGCCTTGTGCTATGAAATTTGTGGCCAACGACAATATTTTATTAACATCTTAATATTTAATAAATCCCTACTATGCGGAGGTGTAAGGCTGACGTAAGAGTTTATCAAACATGTTATTTAATGCACTGCACCCAGAATTACATAATGCTATATTCCAATAAAGCCCATGAGCTCTCTATACAAGACTATTTAGAGGAAAAAGCAAATTCAAAAAATGAGGGGCAAAATGTTCTCTTGGTTCAACTCAGGGGACCATATCATACTTTCAGTTATATGGGCTTGGCTGATAACTTGGGGGAGCAGATGAGTATACAAGTGTGTAAAAAAGAAGAAAACCAAATCTTTTTCAAAAATTTCAAATTTCTGTTCAGCTTCATTTCAGGCTTTCAGAATTGGAAAATCAACTGCCTGCTACCATAAATTACTGTTAAGCAGTAATTAAATACTGAGAATGTGGTTTTTTTTTTCCATTCCAAACCTGATGTCTTTCTCAGACACAGAAATTGTTACTGGTTAGGAAATTCAGCATTTTGGTAAATTAAGGCAGGAGGATTTAATGTCTCCTGGGACCTGTGGGGGCAGAAAGTGATCCAAGAAGGAAAACGTTTTACTATGTTTTGCTCATTACAATCATTTATACATTTTTGTTTTGCTTTACAGAACTAGGAGTTGTGGTGGGCATTGTGTCTTTTAAAAGGAGGGTAGGTTCTCTAAAAAACCCTAACTCATAATTTTAAAAAATTCTTATATGTTTGGAATTATGGTCTCTGCATAAAATGATGCATTAAAAGATGAATAAATTCCAGAGAATTCAGTAACCATTGATAGGGGGAAAAAAGCAGCATGAATACATGCTGTATTCTCCTTTATTTAGAAAAAGCACACAAAAATACAGCACAGTTGATGTGTTTGTCACCAGGGCTTGAAAGTCGAATCAGCCACTGTGTAAAAGATAAAATAAGAATGCACGGATATCAGGATTTTCCCAGTGTGCTTTATTCATAGCCATCTGACACAACAGGACCTAACAGAGCTTTTAGGAAAAACTGAATTCTCAGCCCACAATCACTTTCCAGGAACTTCCCTGCAAACAGTGCTGTGCGCTGGCAGGATGGAAATCTTAGCAATCTCCCTCCTGCTTCCATAGCTTCCTTCTCTCTAAATAAAATTATTTCTGGGGACTTAATGAGAGAGCAAGACTTGTGTGAAAGGAATTCAAGAAAGAGCGGCTTCTAAAAATACACCTAGGCAGCTCTACAGTCATTGTTGCAACCTGACGTGTTGTAGTTCAAGCCATGAACCTAACTACACTTCTTGCCAAATACACACACGCGTACAAAGAAGAGGAAAAGTAAAAACTATGTTTTCTCTTTCTGCAATCCCTTTAACTTTCAGTAAACAGTAGTAATTTTCTGTTGACATACTCAATGCAAATTTCCCAAAGGCAACACAATACAAAACAAAAGACCTGTTAGCTTCCTCAGAGCTGGGGGAAGGCGAGGCAGGGGGAGAGAAATAAAGTTGATGGAGTTCCAGTCTCTTTCTCCTAAGCCTGCGATCGTGAGCCTCTAGCCACCCTAGTCTTTTTGTAGAGATTTTTTGAGTTTCATTCTCCACTTAGGAAGGTTCCCTGGCCTCTTCTCTCCCAAGTCCCCTGTCAATAAAATCCTCATCTCTTCCACTTTGCCCCCAGCCTTTTGGGGAAACTGGACCTTGCTTAGGCGTCTTGTTCCACTGAGCTGAAAAGTACAGCTGCTGACGTGAGGATAAATATTTAAACAAATGAGCTGGGTCACAGCGTGAGGGTCTTCAAGAGAGGGCCTCCTGCTCCTCCTCCTCCTTCCGCCACGAGCTCCTCATCTGGGGTGCACGGCTCCTGTATAGGGGGCTAAGAGGGACGAGGGTGGGATGACGGGAGATGGACAGACCAGGCTATAAGTGAAGGAGGCCCTCTAGGAAAGACAGTCTCGACCGAACAGTGACAGAGAGAGAGAGAGAAAAAAAAAATTGGCCCACATGCCCCTAGTGGGGAGCCATACACCCCACGTAGGCTGGGTTGAGGTGGGGGTGCTTTGGGGCCTCTCACCTGACTTCCTCCTCTGCCTGCACACACACTACAGTAACCCCCTCTACTCACCCCCCAAAACCCAGCCACACAACGAACAACAAGAGGAAGCCGCAGGCGACAAGAGGAGGGGTGCGCGTGGTGGGGGCCCCCAGAGAGGTGAGGGGATAGGGTTGGCGGGCGAGAGAACCGTGCCGCGCACCTCAAGCGCACCCCCAAGCGCCCACACTTACCCCTCGCGGCTGAGGGTCCGGTCTTCGGCGCCAACCCCCGAGTGCGCCCCCTGGCCCGCCCTCGCCCCTCCAGCCCGCCGTCCCCCACACCCCGGCCCGCGCGCTGGGAGGGAGCCCGGGAGCAGCGCGCAGTAGCGGCGGCGGCGGCGGCGGCTCGGGCTCGGCTCGGCTCGGGCTCCAGTGCGCCTAGTGTCGCCGGCGGCCGCCGAGGCTCCCACCGCCAGGGGGAGAAGCCGGGCGGGCGCTGGGGAGGCGGGCCGGGCCCTGGCCGCCCCGCCGGCCAGCCCGCGCGGCACAAGCTCCGAAGCGGCGGCTGCGCGGGGTTCGCGGAGCCCCTGGGCGCAGCGTGCCCGGCCCGAAGCGCCACGGCTGGATGCGCGTCCCGGGTGGCTGCGGGCTCCCGCGGGGGGCGCCCCGGCCGCTCCGGTGCGCCTCCAGACTGCGGGCGCCGCGACCGCCGAGCCGACGAGAGCAGCTCCCGCCGGCCCCTTCCCCCTCCCGCCCCCGCCGCCGCCCCCTCCCCCGCTCCCCCCCCCCGTTAGCATCTCCTCCCTCCCCCTCCTTCTCTTCCTTCCCTTGGCCCCGCGCGCTCGCTCGCTCGCTCCTCGCCTCGCTCTCCCCTTTAAACGCCCACTTCGGATGGGGAAAGAGGACAACTTGAAGTCAAGTTGCAATTAACTTCCGCGGCAGCCGCAGCTCCGGCGGCGGCGGCGGCGGCAGAAGAGGCAGAAGCCGCCGCCTCGAAGTCCGACGCGGGCGCGCCCGCCCGGGGAGCCGTTCCTGGTTTCAGGCCCGCACGCGACAGCCACCGCCGCCCCCAACGTCCATGCCTGAGTGAGTTCTGCTCTTTTGCCTCCCTTTTCCCCTTGCTAGTCTTGCTGTTTTATCTCTGTCTCTTTTTCCGGAATCAGTCCAAACTTCTCTGTAGCACCCACTCCGCGTCCCTTGTTGGGGCGGCTCGGCTCCCCTGTCGTGGGCGCAGGGTTGCAGGGATCCCCCGAGCCCCTTTTCTCACGCAGACGGACCTCGCAGGGGTGGGCTGGTGGAGTGAGGGAGAGCGGCCGGGATGGGGGACCTGAAGATGCCATTCGTTCTCTGTCGGGTTGTGGACGCACCGTCACACCTGCCCATCGACCCTGGCTGAACAAACTCCTTCAGGTCACCGGTACGACCCTTTTGGAAGAGAAAAGGGGAGTGGACAAGACCAAAGGAAGCAAATGGGGAAAGGGGGAGCCTCTGTGCGTTCTGGAGCCGGGCGGGCAGTGAGGTGCTTGGAGGAATGGGCTGCGGGAGTGGAAATGTTCCCCCACCGGATCGCGAGTGTGCTCAGCATCCTTTCCCGGTCCATCTCCGCCTCCCTCTGCTCTCAGCCGGCGCGGCTGATTGTAAGCATCGGCGAAGAGGGGCCTGGGAAGTTTGTGGCAACTTCTGCATCCCGGGAGCTAGTCGGGCGCCGGGGCGCTCAAGTTGGAGCCCGGAGTTTAAAAGCCGCGGCAGTCCTCACTTCGAGCCCTCGCTGGCTGTATCGAGGCCGGTCCTGGAGGGGCTGCTGGCGTGAATGTGGATTTGGAGTTGGGCAGGAGGCAGAAGAAAGGGCAGTCCTCTTAGCTGGGACCGGAACATCACAGGTGCAGCCTCGGGGTCCGCACCGCATCTCCTTCCTGTGGTCCGGACCAGAGCGTGGTGGCCTTTTCCTAGTGATCCAATGCCAAGGCTCCCGGGGCGGCAGAACCGGGGTTGGGGAAATCACGATGAGAAAGACGAAGCAGGCAGGTGGCAGGTCCGGGGAGTGCCACGTGTGTACTGGGGAAACGCACGTTCCTCTTGGGATGACCTCAGAAAACCAAGAGGGGAAAGGAGCACAGGGATCTCCTTGAAGGTTTTGGCCTTGGCCTCCAACTGGGGTGTTGCAAATTTCACTAACAAATGTTGACCACAGGGTCCTCTCTCAGAGTGTCCTTGTTGGCAGCTCTGACCTCTGCGCCCTTCCTTGACGAACTTTCTCAGAAGCATTCCGGATTTACAAGCAAATGTTCTAAGACTTGGACTCCACATGGTTGTAAAAGAGACAGGGAAAACAGAAAGACGCCCTATTCCCGGGAGAGAATCTTACTGCTCTGACTGGGGTTCCATGTTTGCATCCTTGGAGGCCAGGGGACCTGACTTTCTCAAAGGGGTGGGGGGGAGAGTAAAAATGAGTAAAATGTGACTGCTCTGTGTCAGGTTTTGTCCTAAGCAATCTCTGATGTTTACGGTGTTTGTACTGCTGACAGAGTAACTCATCCCGACCAAACTTAGTTGAAATTTACACTCTTATCTAAAGTGGATTTTTCTGAGATGTCAGGAATGTGAGATTTATTCTGTGGTCAAATGTACCAGCAAAAATCAAAAACAAAAACTCATACTTTAAGTCTGAAGAAAACCAAGGTTGAGGTGTTTGCTCTAAAAACCTCGGATCTCCTGTAGGGTACTAGTGCTATGATTTAGCAGTAGTCCTTTATTTCTATTGCATATTATTTTGGTAGAACAGTAGTACATTCATATACTGGCTGCTCCAGTCTGCTGGCAAACATTAGCATTCAAGCTTACATTTTTGACAAATGTGCAGACAGGAATAGCATGAATAGGCATCTTAAATATTAACAACCTAAGCATCTGTTGTGAAACAAATTTAATATATTTACTCTGTTTTTCTCACATTGTTAGAAAAGGTTATAATAAGTGCATAATTTCAACTTTAGTTAGCAGGAGTAACTGTCTGTATCTTTCACTACCTCTCCAAGTGTTCAACACAATCACCAGACATAAATACTTTAATTAACTTGGTTAAGCACATTATTAAATACACTCTAGACAATGTGTATACTATATAAAATGTAAAAGTAGCAAACTATGTATCCTATTTGTACACATTTTTAAATGACTATGCATTTTATAAACATACCAAATATGTTTATTCTTCATTTTCATTTGACACTTATTACTTCATATTTTTTCTAATGGAAACAATATTTTAAATGTAGAGGTATTCAGTCATAGGCAGTACATAATATGTAAACAGTAGCTGCATTGTCAAATTTGAATATGGCTACTTGTAACAATATTATGCAAGAGAAATAAAATCACAATTCAATTTTGTATTTCTTTCTGAATAATGAATATAAATGATGTATTTAAAAAAAAGAACGAATAGGAATTTCCCTCCTAAAGTACTAGCTCCTTAAAATTTGGTGGGGGGGGGGGGCAGGATTGGGGGGAGAAAAAAGATAGAGAAAGAAGACCTAAAAAACTTCCAAGAGTCTGAATAGTTATTTCCAGAATCAATGCATTCCTCACTTTCCCACAAGCTGAAATATGTAATAAATAATAGTTCTTTGTATGTAAAAGTATTCAAAAGGAATGCTTTTTGTTCAGTTTTGTAAGAAATTAATATATTCTTCGGTTGATAATCTACAAATGTAGTTCTTTTTGTCTCCCAGCATCTTAAATAAGAATGACAACAAAATGAATATTGGTTTATTTCTGCAAAGAAATCTGTTGCCAGCTATTTGAACCTGTGATTGAATAAGACATGATATGCTGAGTGATGGTAAAGAAATACTACATTAGCTTAGTAAAGACTGAAATATCTGGAGGAGAATTTTTAGTTCTTTTTCATGTGACAGGTTGTGGATTGTAAATTAGGCCTAAAAGGTCAGGTGACAGGCACCTGTTCCTCATTATTGTAAAAATATTTTGGTTACAAACACTATTACGCTAAACACAACATGGATATACTGCAGGGACTCTATAAAGCACTCTAGTGGGTTTTCATCTGCTCTGTAAATTTCCAAAAGGGCTATACATAGATATGCCCTTTACACACATTGTTTCTTCCATACATGTTGTCTTGGATGACTGCAATTAATATATTAGTACTTGGAATTGATGAAGTATATACAATAAATGCATATGACTAAAGCAATCATCAGACTATTTCTAGGCACAATGTAGTGGAATGCAAAAATGTTTTTAAATCTTTTTCCTTTACAATATATTGATTATCAGAATTTTGTTCATGTTATAAATAGAAACCTCCCCAAATTGCCTTTTACATTTTTTAGATGTGTTCTTATTTTAAATGATGCCATGAAATATTTTGCTCAGTACTCACATATAAAAAGAAAATTAGTTGCTGTATACTGTCGTAGCTTTATGGCTTACATAAAATAGAAAAAACACATTTACATGAATGCTGTTAGGAAGGGTATCATCATTTGATCTTTAAACTTGCCGCTTCTCTCAGGAGAGTTCAGCAATATTTCTATTGGAGTTAAGGAATGTGGTTTGATTTTTATGAATGGTTTACTTTTAGATATTTCAGAGTGAAGAATGAGCATACATATTGAAAAGACCAAAGTGGCACAGGGCTGCAAAATATTAAAGGTGCCAGGTGCCTTAATTAACAAATGAGGAATATCTTGAGTAAATCAGATAACTCAGATTGTTAAGTTCTATGATATTTCAAAATGTTTTTTGTCTTTTTCAGTTTTGTATGCTTTGTGCTTATTATATTAAGTATTCATTTTTAGCACTTTTGTGATCAGATTACAGAACAGTCATTACTCTTGCTTTTCAAATTGATTTGGTTTTCAAACTCCAAAACTCTGTGATGATTTTTACAAATTGGTTTACATTTTGACAGAACAGAGTTAAGTTAATTAATAGATCAGGCACGAAAAATCATCCACAGTAGGGTATATTTTCTGGTAAAATGAAAGTTATGTTTCAGCATGATGAGCATCAGGCTTCAGTAATCTGTTCCTCGTGTGGAATGAACACTTCCTACTTCGAGCTAGCAGGCACCTACTGTTTATTTACGCTGCATTAAACTGACAGCGCAGCAATCAGAGGAAAAATATTACTTACCTTCCTGAAGTAAATACCAGTTTATAGGTTAGTGCACGTATTTATATTCCTGTCACCACTAAATAACGGCTCTGTCTCCATTTTAATATCTACCTGTGCTATAATCCAGGGCTTCAGACTCTTCCTGGTTGGGGATAGGGGTAGAGAGGAGTTTTTCATATCATTTCTCAATGGCAAAACTTTAAAGACAAATAATTTCATCTTCTCATTTCTGTCGTGTGAGAACCAGTTGAAAGAAATGTTATGTATCTTTACTTTGCATACCTCAACTCTAACATCAAAACCCCAAAAGAATCTGCATGCCACTTAAAATAGTCATCTTAAAGCAACCTCAGGATAAATATGTTCAAACACATTGAAATGTATTTTGCTAAATTAACTTTCTACAAAGTTCCAAAAAGATTAAACTATTTGATTCCTCAGATAATAACTTCAATAAAGTGTCTTCTCTTCCAAGTCTTATGTGGAATGTTTGAGTTTTTCATGGAGTTCTAAAAATATGAATAAAAGTGGGGCTCACTGATTGATTTATTGATTGACACTCTGAGCTTTTCTCTGAAAATATTCTTACCTCCTTTATTTGACTTCTTGTTAATCTGCCATCCTTAAAATAAGGGAGATTTCTACTTTGTTATAATACTAAATGTATTTGTTGTTTTCTTTTAAGTTAAAAATCCTTTCTCTTTCAAGATCCCTTTGAAACATCAAAATACTGTTAAAGTTGAATTTCAAAATTCACAATTAACTTGAGAAAATGCTTATTTTCACTTATATTATCTAAGAATCGGTTGCACTTAACTGCCTATACACAGTTATCAATACCTAATCACATATTCCACTGACATCAGGGTAGAATATGGTCTTAATACAACATATAAATCAAATCTGTTACACAAGGTTCTTCTCCTTCACTATACCGAAAAAAAGTTGTCTACTATAGTAATTTATATGTCATTCCTAACTGCTGTTCTCAATGGTAAGTCTATTTAAACTTGATGTCTTCATAGAGTGTGATCAACACATTAGCACACATTATTTCATACTTTTGAACTTATGCCAATGGTACCTTTTGCTGTTTATTTTTTTAAAGTCTTTTTTAAGATTAGATATTTCATTTCAGAGTAAATAGATACAGATTGTGTGTATATATATTCAGGGTGAGATTTAGTAGTGTAGAATTTCTCCAACATATTGGCCTATTTTTATGCTTTCAAGTTATTCTTTATCACTTCTACAGTTGTTGCAGTCTGAAAGTTCATAATCGAAATTCTAATCACCTCTTTCAGTGGACTTTCAAGGATGTAATTCAGTTTATGCGGTGATCTAGTTTAGTTACAAGAGATGAAAATTAGTTAACTGGTACCTCAGGATTTATGTCCCTGGTTTCTGCTGAAATTTATTCAGTCCAGTTATTTGACATTTGGTAGAGAAGTGGCTTGTAATCAAAAATTAAGAGTTGGTTCAATTTCCAGTGGAGGAGAGATTTTCCTGGATAAAACATTTAACTGTGCAATATTTTATTACACTCATCACTCATTTTAGAGCCTGCTTATTGTTGCACACATTTTTGAATACCTAGGGGTGCAGGTCCCCAGATGAGGCCGAAATGCTTGCAGAAGAAGCAGATGTCAGGCTGCACCTGGTTGTGCCTTTACTAGTATGTCTGTGGACTTGAGCTGGCCCCCCCTCCTCTGCACCCCTTCCCCCACAGGTGTGCAGGAAGTAGAGGGCGTTATACTGGGTGAAGTGGGTGGACTCTACACAGAGCTATGACCTGATTTGTGACGCACCCTCAGAACTGCAGTAATGGTCCAGCTGCTTCAGAGGCAACTGGTAACCACCTCATTTGGGGATGTTTCTGCCTTGCTAGCAGTGCCAGCGAGAACTTCATCATTGTCACCTCATCAAAGACTACTTTTTCAGACGTCTCCTGTAGGGCTAGATTCAGAGAGCAGCTTCTGATTATTTGGAGGGTAAGTGCCAAAAAAGTTCCTATAATGTGATATAGGGAGAATCAGGGTTCCAGCCACAGTGACAGATAGGCATTGAGTGTTTCGGGGGAGGTCTTTCTGTTGGGATGTTGCTTTTTCTCAGCTCTAGAAAATTTGGGACCAGATACTAAGAAAAATTCTTCCATGGGCATTCTTTTTTGGGTGGTAAGATACAGTAGCAAGTTCCCAGGGAGAATTATTAAAACTTCTTGAAATATTTAAAGAAAAGGTAGTCAGTAATCTGTGTGAGGGGGCATTCTTTAGATGCAATTTTCCTGGAAGCTAGGCATGTAGTAGAGTTGATTGCTAGAGATTCCTCTATAGTCTTATTCAGTGGTTCCTGATACGCCATTAAGTGCATGTAAATGACAATTTGGCCTTTTAATGTTTATAATGTTAAGGACTTTAAGGCAAAAGAGGTTTTATGTTATAAATATTTTATTGTAATAATTATTATAAATAAAATAGAACCTAGTGTATGCAGATATCTTTGAAATGGAGATAGTCTTGAATATAGCATATCCATAATTAGCTGTTTGATATTGAATGCAATTGAGTTTTCCTGTTCCAGTGAAACAAACAATGGAAATCACTGGGGATTAACAAGAGGACTATGTGATTCTTGATATAGCAAGCCTTTCTTTCTCCCAGAAAATATTTTATCAGTGAACGAATTACTAATTTAAAATGCATACAGTTTAAAAATTTTTAAAAACCTATAGAATTTATAAAATAATCCAAATACTTCCCATTGTATTTTCACCAACTGAAATGATATTTAGATATACTGTTTAATGGTAGACAGTTATCTCCAGACTGTGGGAGGAAAAAACAATATTTTAATAACTATGCTTTAAAAATTTTCTTAGAGTTGTATTTCCCTTTGAGTGGTTTAAGAGGACTCAGAAACAATTTAGAACATTATCTTAAAAGTTTAACAATGACAGTTTGTATAGAATCACTGTATTTTCATAATACTTTATGCTTATTAGTGTTATTAGAGCAGTAGACAATTACAGCCTTTTCTGAGACATGTTAACTATATATTAACAATCATGTTAAAAAAGAATGATGTATACTCTTACATACAAGCGGCTGCTTGCTTGACTCTTTAAAAAATTCTTTCAGAATGTGTGGAGTCAGAGTTTTGGTTCAGAATCATCAAATGTTTTCTACTGAAGCAACTTAATTTTAAAACTTTTCATTGATTATAAAATTTTTCTCCCTTTTTTTTTCTTTCTATAGTGTTGACTTGATAGTTTTTGCCAGTGTCATTAGAAATTATTGCCCCTCAGTGGTTTTAGTCTTTCCAAATTATATTTCGAGATACCCATGTTTTCTTGGTTTTTTTTTTTTTTTTTTTTTGATGACTTTGGCCAACATAATCCATTAAAAACTTATTGAATTGATTTTGCACCTCTTAATACTTCTTTTTGTGGAATAATTTTAGTCACTTTTTCTTTAGCCAAATTGTGATTACTTACAACTCTATATAACCTAATATTTTAAATACATTTCAGCAGTTAATCTCAGAGGTAGTTCTAAGATTATTTCATTGTCTAAATCTCAAACCTGGATTTTCACTATGGCTTCTGGCATGGCAAAACAATGGGTGACTGAAACTAGAGGGACTTAAAGATAGACTTAGCCTTACTTAGACTATTCTATCAAGTTGGTTAACTATTTGAATTATCTTGGTTGATCGGAATGTGTAGATTTTCTAACTTCGTAATATGTCTCTTAAAAATTCACTAGTATTTCTACTTTCTGAAGTTTGTAGATGCTACTATATATTTCTATAAGATATTAAACTACAAATAAAGTAAGTAATAAGATATGTCTGTATTATATAAAACAAAGTTCATAGCATTCTGTGACGTGTACATACTGAGCACTCAATAAAATTGAAAAAATTAATAAAATATAAAATGTAGCTTGTGATGATAAAGATTTATTGGCGAAGAGACTTTTCTTTCTAATTTTCTGTTTTTACTGGGGTTATCTGAACACTTAATCTGCATATGTTTCATTTTCTGGATAATTGAATGGTTTTTTGGTTGTTTTTTTTTGTTTGTTTTGTTTTGTTTTGTTTTGTTTTTGCCAGCATCAGGGTCTCTGTTCTAGCCTCATTGTCTGACCTTCAGTATTAGGTTAAGTATCCCTGCTCAGCTTCATTCGTTGGTGTTTGGTTGTAGTAATAAACAATACTGGAGTCAAACAGAGCACTCCCCTGAGTTCCTTGCAATTTAGCCACCAAGTAGCCATCCTTCTGTTATTCCAGAGCCAAAAATACTATGGACAAGTGGCTCAAAGCTGATTGACCTCTATCTGTTCTTTCCTATAATAATGATTTTTTTTCAGGGTCCCATTGAATAAATATTGATTGCAATTATTAAATAAAAAGATATTTTTCATTGCAGCTTAAATACATTGTTTAAAAATATTCTAAGATTTGGGGTGTTTATGTTAATGAATATTTTACTCCATTCCTTAAAACTAGTTCTGAAATTGCAATAGGATTGTGTTAACTGCATCCCAAACATTCTGAAAAGTTCTAGCCATTCTATGAAAGTTATCTAACAAAGACACTTCCTTTTAAAATTTATTTTCATTTTAAAATATGAATGGGGCTGTTTGTAACACAGTCCTATTTAGTTACACAAAAGACAGAATTTCTTAAGTGGTACACTGCTGTGTGACCTATTACATTATCATGCACATTCTGTCTCTTTAAAAACACAGTCTCCTCTATTTGCCCTATTAATTGTTGATATGTTGCCATCCACGAGACAAAAATTAGAGCTGTAATTAAATAATCATGTGATGCTCCTTAGTGCCAATGAGAGCAAACTCATTTTTCCAGGCCCTGATGGTCACTGATTATTGTATTACTACTGGCTTGCTTTATTTTTTTTAATGATTCTCTATCTGTAGATTACCTAACTACTGTCCTGCTTTTCAAAATTAAAGAAAGTAGAAAACATTCAGCCAGTTAATTGACTAGAGGTCCTCAGGGACATAAGGTAGACATACCTTTTTTGCTTTTGGTCACCTGGTAAGTTCTTTGGGGAGGCTACATCAGTGGTGTGGTTGCCTGCCATTTAATTTACACTGGTGTTTTGGCTGGGATGGAGGCATATGGGGAATGCCAGGAGAATTACAAAAGGAGCCGGGTATTAAAATTCAGAAATGATTAAAATTGAAATAAAAGGATGCTGCTTCTTTGCCAGTACTCTGGCAGTCATAATGACACATAGAGATTAGTTTCCACCTTCATCTTTTCCTTCTTTCTCATTTCCTCTTGTTTATTGTTGACACATTTTCCTTATGTCTGTCTCCTGTCTCTGTATCTTTTTGCACCATTATGTATTCCTACTTCTCCCTCTTTCTTTAAACATGGAGAAGCCTACTTAACCTTATTATAACAATAACAGAATAGGTTATTAATATTTGATATGCACATGATTAAAATTTCTCTCCCTTAAACATAGGTCAGCTGTATTATTACTAACCGGTATGTAATTTTTCATTTAAAATATTCTTATTCTGCCCCATGCCGCTTCTGAAATGCAGTCTACTTTAGTAGTGATTTAATATACAACATTTAGAAAATTGTGGTCGGCTAGTGAGAAAAGAATTTACCAGTCATGGATAATCAATTATGCATGAATTCAAATGTAACAGATGGAATCTGGTGAGTTAAAGTTTCTCTTTCTTTGCCTTAGCGGTTATTTTTTTTTTTTATTTGTTTGTTTGACACCTGTCTCATATATAGATAAACATCTAACGTAGCATGTGAGAAATTTCCTTATATTTTTATTTTCTCTTTCAAGTGAACTTAATTTTTTTTAATTAAAGAAAGAGAATTTTTTATGTAGTCTTAAAGATTATCAGACTCTATCCATTCATTTTATAGATATGGAACCTGATCCTGCTTAACTAATGAAGGATCACTCAGCTAGTGAGTAGAGTAAGAAGCAATACCCAAATCTAGTTTCTCTATCTTTTCTCCACTACTTTTCCCCCTGTGTCATTTATGCTCCTTTTTGTGGGAGTTGCTTGATAGTAGGAGTATTATACTAACTCTGAGTTTTAAAGGCTTTCTGATGAAAACTGTGATAGGCTAGTTTTAAATTGTACAGTATTCTCTTGCATGACATGCAAATATCTGTGTACATATAACCTGTTATGCTATGTGTGTATTATCTATGTACTTATTCATACTTGGATGTTGGCCAAACAATTGGATTTCTCAAATCTATTGAGAATGCCATAAGATTTGGTTTTACATCCTAAACTGTGACATATGCCAGCCTTGAAGATACATTTACACTTGGTTGCAGTGTTGTAAATTTTCAGTAATAAAACCCCTTTGTGCAACACGAACTAAAAAGTTATTTTTGAGAGCCTTGTTCCCTCAAAGAAGAGATGAGAGGTTTAATTTTTATTAAATAGAATGTGAATATGTAGTGTTTCTTCAACTGTAGAAATAATAGACGAATAGTAGATATTGACCTTTAAAGCAGTCTAGTCTCAAAACAGTTACAAGCTAGTTCCCATCAAAATGTTTCATAAATGTGCTGTTTCTCTCCCAAGTGTATTTACGTATTAAAAAACACAAATGAAAAGTCTTTGCAAAATAAATAAAAATAAATGATTAAAAAACAGCCTCAAGGCTCTCTAGTTCTTTTTTAAAAGTTCTACTGTGGCATTATTTATCAACTTTTTGCTTCATGTTGGCTTGAAATGTCCATGTATAGTCCATGCCAGTTATCTAATAAATTTTTAAATGAACACATTAATAAACAAAAAGGCACCTACAAGATAGGTAACTGGTTATGCTTTATAGCTATATTGTGAAGCTGTGTTTTAGTATTTTTTAATGCTTTTACACATAATAAATGTATCTTTTGTATTAGTATTCCTTAGTTATGCACATAAGAAAAAATATTCATAGATATGAACTTCAGTAAACTGATTTT